TAGTGTCTAGGGAAGCACAGGTTAGGTGGATTGGCCATGCTAAATTGCCCATAGTTCCTAGGGATGTGCAGACTAGATGGATTAGCCATGGTTAATCCTTTTTTTACATGGTAAATCTGGGGTTACAGGGATAAGGTGGGGTTCTGGGTGGGATGCTGTACAGAGGGTCAGTGCAGACTTGATGGGCCAAGTGGCCTTTTTCCAAACTCTAGGGATTCTATGATTCCAAAAGAAGGCTCTTGGTATGCTTGCATTTATTGGTTAGTGTATTGATTACAGGAGTTGGAAGGTCATGTTGCGGCTGTACAAGACATTGGTTAGGCTACTTTTGGAACATTGAGTGCACTTCTGGTCTTCTTGCTATAGGAAGAATGTTGTGAAAGTTGAAAGGGTTCAGAACAGATGTTGCCAGGGTTGGAAGGTTTGAGCTATAGTGAGAGGCTGAATAGACTGGGGCTATTTTCCCTGGAGGGTCGGAGGCTGAGGGGTGACCTTCTAGAAGTTTATAAAATCATAACGGGCATGGATAGGGTAAATAAATAACGTCTTTTTCCCTGAGGTGGGGGAGTCCAAAACTAGAGGGCATAGGTTTAAGCTGAGAGGGGAAAGAATTAAAAGGGACCTGAGGGGCAACGTTTTCACGCAGAAGGTGGTGTGTGTATGGAATGAGCTGGTAGAGGAAGTGGTGGAGTCAGGTATAACATTTAAAAGGCATCTGGATGGGTATATGAATAAGAAGAGTTTAGAGGGATATGAGCCAAATGCTTGAAAATTGGACTATATTTATTTAGGATATCTGGGTTGGCGTGAATGAGTTGGGCTGAAAGATTTGTTTCCGTGCTGTACATCTCTATGACTTTATCTATGACTCTAATTCTTGGGCCATCAGCAAATGGGAATAGTTTGTATTTATTTGCCCCCTCTAATACAACTGTCACAACCTTGTGCATATATATCAAACCTCTCCTGCACCAAGGAAACAACTCCAGTGCCCTGAACCAACCCTACAACCAAAATCCATCATCCCTGGAACCATTCTGGCAAATTTTCACTGCACCAGCAGCGAAACCTGGACCCTCATCCTTCCTAGAGTTTGGTGACCATAACTGTACACACTGTTCTAATTGTACTCTAACCAAAGCAACTGAGAGTTTGTGGTGTCTGTATTATTAATTACGACCTTACTGCGGCTGCCAATATTAATGTATACATAATATTAATGTATATGGTAGTGGGTAAAATTCTCAAATCCATTATCAAGGACTTTATAGTGGAGCATTTAGAAAGCAGTCGCAGGATCAGACAGAGTCAGCATGGATTTATAAAGGGGAAATCATGCTTGACAAATCTGTTGGAATTCTATGAAGATGTAACTAGTAGAGTTGACAAGGGGGAGCCAGTCGATGTACTATTTTTGGACTTTCAGAAAGCATTTGACAAAGTCCCACGTAAGAAATTAATGTGCAAGATTAAAGTGCATGGGATTGGGGGAAGTGTATTGAGATGGATTGAAAACTGATTGGCAAAGAGGAAACAAACAATAGGAATTAATGGGTCCTTTTCAAATTGGCAGACAGTAACCAGTGGGGTGCCTCAGGGATTGGTGCTGGGACCCCAGCTATTCACAATGTATATTAATGATTTGGATTAGGGAACAAAATGTAACATCTGCAAGTTTGCAAATGATTCCAAGTTGGGTGGGAGGGTGAACTGTGACGAGGATGCAGAGATCCTTCAGCATGATCTCTACAGGTTGGGTGAGTGGGCAAATCAATGGCAGATCCAGTATAATTTGGATAAATGTGAGGTTATTCACTTCGGAAGCAAAAACAAGAAGGCAGATTATTACCTGAATGGCTGTAAATTGGGAGAGGGGAGTGCGCAGCGGGACCTGGGTGTCCTTGTGCACCAGTCGCTGAAGGTAAGCATGCAGGTACAGCAGGTGGTAAAGAAGGTAAATGGTGTGTTGGCCTTCATTGTGAGAGGTTTCAAGTACAGGAGTTGCAGTTATACAGGGCCTTGGTGAGGCCACACCTAGAATATTGGTCTCCTTTTCTAAGGAAGGATGCTCTCACTCTTCAGGGAGTGCAGCGAAGGTTTACCAGGCTGATTCCAGGGATGGCGGGTCTGACGTAAGAGGAGAGATTGACTAGGTTGGGACTGTTTTGCTGGAGTTCAGACAAATGAGGGGGGATCTCACAGAGACTTATAAAATTCTAACATGACTAGATAGGGAGATGCAGGGAGGATGCTCCCAATGGTGGGTGTGTCCAGAACCAGGGCTCACAATATGATGTTGAAAATCTGAAATGAATACAGTTCTGAAGACCGGACTTAAAATGTTAACTCTATTTCTCTCTCCACAGGTGCTGCCATACCTGCTGAATTTCTCCAGCCATGCCTCTTCTGTTGTGAGGATAGATCTTTTCAAACAACCTGTTCAGAGATGTTACAACACACCTCTGGAACAGGTGGGACTTGAACCTCGGACTCCTGGCTCAGAGGTAGGGGTACTACCACTGTGCCACAGAACCCTTAAAAAAAAATTGTTGGCAACTTGCATCACCAAGAGAATAATGTAGATGTTGTCTAATCAATCTGTTCAGGGATGTTATTACACTGATACTAATTGTTATTAGTTCTGAGGAAGGGTCACCGGACCCGAAACGTTAACTCTGTTTTCTCCGCCACAGATGCTGCCAGACCTGCTGAGCTTTTCCAGCAACTTTGTTTTTGTTCATGTTATTACACACCTCTGGAGCTGGGACGTGAACTTGCACCTGCCGGCTCAGCGACACAAAGAACTCTTTTTTAAAATATATATATATATATATGTTAGCAACTTTCATCATCAAAAAAATTCCATACCAACCCGCTCAGAGGTGTTGTTACACACCCTTAAAAATGTAGCTCACCAATGTGCATGCTTCTGAGCAGGGGCCATCTGCAGTGCGGCGCAGTTACTCATTCTGCCTAGGGGGCGGCAGCGGCGGCGCCTGGCTTTCCTTTCGTGTTGCTGGGAGCACGTCCTGCTTTGGCGAGGTTATCCGTTGTCTGATGGAGAGGGACTGAGTGATGGAGGCACGGAATGGGTGAGTGAGTGAGATGAATGGAGGAAGGGAGGAGGTCTTGTTGCTGTATGGGTTTGGAGGGTAGAGGAAGGGAATGATGATGATGATGGTGGCGGGGGAACCGAAGATATTCCCGGAGGCTATACATCTCCTTAAGGGCCTCAGGCCTTCCTGCAACTTTCCTGTACACCGCCCCCAGTTCTGTTTATCTTCGTTAAATAGCCTTCAGGAGGACATTTGATCTCTTCAAAACATTAAATTTGCCTGCTTGTGGTTTTGATGCAATTAAAATGTATGATTTTAGTTAAGTTGCATTAGCATGGTATGAAGAAAGCACGAAACAGCCACACAATGACTTCAATATAATAGGAAATGTGTGTGTTTTCAAAATCTTTTGGAGCAGTTGCTGTACTTAGGCGTTCAAAAGGCCAAATTTGCTGCAATAATATTATTATCTGCTGGTTGTGGTGTCTGACGTTTGGTTTGTCCATTAGTTAGAGACTCAAACAAAATACTGTGGATGTTAGAGATCTGAAAGAAGAGGAGTCATTGGATTCAGAGATAGTAGGAACTGCCGATGCTGGAGAATCTGAGATAACACTGTGTAGAGTTGGATGAACACAGCAGGCCAGGCAGCATCTGAAGACGGGTCCAGGCCCGAATTGTCAGCTTTCCTGCTCCTCTGATGCTGCCTGGCCTGCTGTGTTCATCCAGCTTTACACCGTGTTATCTCAGAGTCATTGGATTCGAAGTGTTAACTCTGTTTCTATCGCCACAGATGTTGACAAACCCGCTGTGTATCTCCAGCACACACTGTTTTTATTTAATTAGAGTCTCACTTCAAGGTGCAATTATTACGAAGCTCTCCCGTATTTGGGATAAAACAACGGAAAAGTGCAGGAGATTCTCAGCGGGTACTCCAGCACCTGCGGACAGAGGAACAGATGTAATGTTTCAGGTTGATGACCTTTTGCCAGAAGCAAAAACAATTAGAGACGTAATGGGTTTTCATTTGAGTACAGAGGCAGGGATAAGAGTAAAGAAACGAAAAGCATGTCTAGAGGAAGTATAAATGGGAATAGCAGGATTATTGTCCATAACTGCAGTCTGAAACAGTTATTTTTTATTCATTAATGGGATGAGGGCACCGCTGGCTGTGCAGCATTTGTTGCCCATCCTTAATTGCCCAGAGGGCAGTTCAGAGTCAACCACATTTCTGTGGGTCTGGAGTCACATGTAGGCCAGATCAGGTAAGGATGGCAGTTTCCTTTCCTAAAGGGCATTACTGAACCAGATGGGTTTTTCCTGACAATCGACAATGGATTCATGGTCATCATTAGATTCTTAATTCCAGATATTTTTTATTGAACTGAAATTCCAACATCTGCTGTGGTGGATCTTGAACCCAGGTCCCCAGAATGTTATCTGAGTCTCTGGATTAGCAGTCCAGCGACAATACTACTAGGCCATCACCTCCCCAATAGTGGGAAAACGTATATGATCTGAAGTGGTTAAATTCGATGTTGAGTTTGGAAGACTGTAAAGCACTTGGAAGAAAAGATACTGGCCTTCAGCTTCTTTGGACAACTGCAGGAAACCGCAGACAATTGAAAATAGTATGGTGAATTAAAATGGCAGGGAGCCAGAATTTTGGGGTCATGTGGACAACGTGGTATTCTATAAGGTAGTCACCCAATCTGCTTTTGCTCTTCCTGGTGGAGAGGAGACCACACTATGAGCAGTGAATACTGTAGACTAAATTGAAAGAAGTACAAATTAATCAGTCTTTCAGCTGGAAAGTGTGTTTGGGATCTTGGTCAGTGGGAATGCACAAAGGCAGTTGTTAAGGAGAGTCATACTGGACTCGAAATGGTATTTCTCTTTCACCATTGATGCAGCCAGACTTGCTCAGTTTCTCCAGCACTCTCTGTTTATTTAAGGCAGATATAGTCTCTTTCACTTATCTGGGAGAACGCCTGTGGAAAGACTGAAGGTATTGGGACTAATTTGAAGAGTGAATCTGGGGTTGCAGGCAGGATAATCCTTTTGGAATACTGAATGTGAAAGTACAGCAAGATGCATTGGTGGTGGAATCACATTTGGGATAGCGTACAATGGTAAATTGAATGTGGAGACTGATGTTGTGGAAGGTGAGGACAAAGGCGACTTCATTACGTCCAGGTATCTGCATTTTTGAATTGCAGCTTTTACTAGGTTGCAGTTAGTGTGAAACCAAAATGATTTGCTTCATTTAGCAATGATCTGTCACGGGGCGCTATAGGTTTGGTACCCTCAGGAACTGACATTTCAGTCATGCTGCCATTTTTGCATTCCAATCATGATTTAGGAGGCAGGACAACTACATCTTTCAATTGCTGCTGAGTTTTATAAGCAAGACAACTGTCTTTTTTTGTGGGGGTGATATTCTTTACATATTGAAATGTTAAAACTTTGTTTAAAAAGTTCAATTTTTTCTAAGAGTTCACAGGTTTGGAAGAGTTTCCAATTAAATTGTACGATCAAGCCATCAAAGATTGCACCGTGTATGGGAAAATAACCTCTAAGTATGGAGCAGGGTAAGTTTCTTTCCTTTTTTTAAAGACCATATTTTGTGTCATATCTCCTGTACAGCATAACTTGAGCATGAGTTACAGCTTCTTCAGTGCCAGATTTGCTAAACTGCAGAAAAAAAATTTGACTGAAGTTATGTTCTTGTGCAGAAAGCACCAACACTCTCAAGCGAACCCGTGAAACGAATGTTAGTAAACTTGCTGTTTAAATGCTACCCTTGGCTGATTACTGCAGGAAGCTTGCTGAATGTGGATCCTTTTATTTTACAAAAGCAAGTTGACTTTAGAATATGTTGGTTAATGAATTTTTGTATGGTACCTGAAGGTATTGAGAGAGAGAGAGGGTGAACAGAAACATGTAGCCACACTAACCTCACCATATCAGGAGGTCAGCTGACTTGACTCAGACTAAGGATCAAATTTGAGGCTGTGTGGTCGTGTTACTGCTACAGGTTCAATGTAATGCTTTAATGGTTTTCTCACCTGCAAGTTATGATGATACATTAAGGACAAAAATGGAAATCTCTATGCTCTTGCAAATGTTAGGGTTACATCGTTGATATTTTTTCCAGTTCTTCTTTCTCCAAGCTACTCTTCTCCTGGGTGTAGTTACAGTATAAGGGCCTTGATGCCCTGTCAGTACTTTACTGTAATGACCCTTGCAATAACAGCAGCACCAATTTGCATTTATATGGCATCTGTCAATTAAAATAAGATCTTTCATGCGAATGTTATCAAAAAAAATCTTATACACACTCTCACTTTGAAATCCCTTTGTGACCTTCTTATTTTTATTATTTTTTTCCTTGGAGATGTGTGTGTCACTGGCATTTTTTTTTAAAATCCTTATTGCTTTTGAACTGAATGGTTTGCTAGGCCATTTCTGAAGGCTGTTAAGAGTTTGGAATCACATGTAGACCAGACCAAGTAAGAATGGCAGATGTCATTTCTTTAAGACTGTTAGTGAGCCAACTGGCTTTTTTTTTTTGTGGCAATCAGCAATGGTTTAATGATCACTAGAATCACAGAATCCCTACAATGTGAAAGAGGCCATTCAGCCCATTCGAGCCTGCTCTGACCCTCCAAGGAGCACCCACCCAGATGCAGACCCCCACCCTATCCCCGTAACCCCACATTTACCATGGCTAACTCACCTAGCCTGTACATTCCTGGACACAAAGGGGCAATTTAGCATGGCCAATCCACTGAACCTGCACATATTTGGACTGTGGGAGGAAACCAGTGCATCCGGAGGAAACCCTCGCAGACACAGGGAGAAAGTGCAGACTCCACACAGACAGTCACCCATGGTAAGAATAAAACCAAGGGCTCCTGGCGCTGTGAGGCAACAGTGCTAACCACTGAACCAGTGGCAGCTCATAAAAAAATTAATGAGAATGATGATGAATGCGATTAGAAAAATGCATTGCTAATGATATTAGAAAATTTCCTGGAAGAAATACCAGTTATATGTATTTATTACTGAGACTAACTTTCTATTTCATATTTAAATTAATTGAATTTAAATTACACCAGCTGCCTGGTATTTGAACCCCTGTCCCCAGAGCATTATCCTGAGCCTAGAATACTTGGTTACGAATCCAGTGACTTCACCTCTCTGCTTCTTACCAATGATTTCCTTTAATCATATATCTTCTCCTATACCATTGACTTACTACTCTTAAATCCCACTATGACTTTTTGACTGTACTGTGTCAATAGTGGATAATGCATCAGCCACATATCTATCACCAAACCTGTCTATTTCCACTGTAAGAATATTGCTTGATTTCATGTGCTTGAGCTCAGCTGCTGAAGCCCTTGTCTGTGCCTTTGTCACCTCTAGAATTCACTGCTCCAGTGTTTTCTTGGCCAGCCACCCAGCTTCCACTTTATACAAGCTTGTGTTTACACAAAACCCAGCTGCCGACAACCTAATTTGCACCTAGTTTTGCTCACTTCTGTGCTTGCTGACATATGTTAGCTCTTGACCAGGCAACACAACTCTCAATAACTAATATATTCAAATTCTTTAATGAAACTCCCAAAACACTACACAGGAGCATTGTAAAACCAAGTCTGACATAAGGCTACACAAGGAGATATTATGTAAACCTGCCAATAGCTCATTCAAATAGGTATGTTTTAAAGTGTGTCTTCGAGGAGGAAAGAGAGGTAGAGAGGCACATTATAGTTTAGAGCTATGGATACTGATGGTGAATGCTGTCATGTTTTTTACAACTCTTAGTTGATCAGGAATATCTTCTGCCCTTACTGCTTGCTTGTGTGTTGGAAAGGTTTGTAGATTGATAGTCAACCTGTTTTGCCACATTATAAATGCGTCCCCCTTGGTCAACAAGTCCTATAATGAATCTCAAACTTGGATCTTCTGTCTCAGAAACGGGGACGTTATCCATGGCACCATAATCCCACCGCCTGGGAGATGAGTGTGCGCAAATCATTGAAGGAGACAGGGAAAGTTGTGGAAGATGTATGGAGTCCCGGCCTTTATAAATAGAAGCATAGAACACTAAAGCAACGAAGTTATGATGAACTTTTCTAAAATATTGGTTTAGCCTCAGCTGGAGTATTTTGTCTAATTCTGGACACCATACTTTAGGGAGAATTTGAAGACCTTGGGGAAATACAGGAAAGACTGAAAGGAATGATTCCAGGCATGAGGGGCTACAGTTACATGATGGACTAGACAAGCTGGGCTGTTCTCCTTAGAAAAATGGTTGTGAAGGGATTTAATAAAGGGGTTCAAAGTCATGAGGGATCTAGACTAAGTAGATAGAGAAATTATTTCCAGTGATTGGAAGAATCAAGAATAAGAGGACAGTGATTTGGGGTGATTAGCAAATGAAGCAACAGGAATATGAGAAAAACGTTTTCACAGCAGTTGGTTTGGATCTGGAATGTACTGCCTGAGAGTGATGGAGTTCAGTTGTGGTCTTCAAAAGGCAATTGGATCATTACCTGAAGAGAAAATAATTTCAGTACTCTGAGGAAAAGATGGGGAAGTAGGTCCGGCTGATTTGCTTTTGCACAGGAGTAGCACAAACACAGTAGGCTGAATGGCTTTGTTCTGTCTAACGACTATTATATGATTTTGTGGTTCCTTTAATTTTGTACTGTAATCCTCTGAGATCCATGTGGGAACAATAACTTAAGTGTTTGGTTTCACTTATTTTCTTTCTTTGAATTCAATATGCTGTCCATTCTGATTGGGAGAAGGAACAGCATGAATTGGTTGCCGGAGAGTTTTGCAATCATTCTACTCTCTTGTGCTGTTGAGTTCAGTGACTCTTTCCCAACCGTCCATTAGCATTTCTCATTAAAGTCAATATCCTAAAACAAATAGCTAACAGACAAATAAAAAAGATGTTCCTAACATCAGTTAATCATTGTACAGTTAGGTCATGTGAGTATTGCTGAAAGAAAAGATATTTTGTCTAAGTTTTTCTTCATGCACTGATCAGGACTATCAATTTAAGGGGAAAACTAAAATTTATACTGCATGAAAGGAGAGTGCAAAAGGATTGGCTTTTATTGGTAGAGGCATGGAGAATGCACCAATTAGTGATGCTTGACAGGTAACAGCCAGGCTTTGTTTAAATTTTGAACTGCGTAGGTTGACTATGATCAGGGCATTTGAGAAATGGACAGAAGAATGGTTATTTTGAATTGAAAGAATGTGTAAATGTTCTTTCTACCTACAAAGAACAGGACTCTGTGTTGGATTTATGTAGGTTCCAGTACAGACAGGTACACAGCTCTGTGAGCCCAGCTGCCCATTCTAAATTGGTTGTCACCATAGTTCTTTGCACACTTGGGATTGTTCACCAAGTGTTGTCCAGCTACAGAATCACACATTATGTTGGACTGGTTGGGAACACTCAGTACCTTTCTTGTTCTGAGCAGCTAAAGGGATATGCACTTTGATATGATCCACTAGTCTTTGCGAAGTTACCTGGCATCACACAAGCACTGAATTTTATACACCACCTGACTCCTCAGAATGAGAGGGAGAATGTCTTTTTGGCTTAATTCCAGCATTCAGTTACTGGCAAACACTACCACAGCATGAAACTATTAGCTTCACCTGTTGCTCAAATGTTTGAGGTACTTTCCCCTTCCAGGGTAACCTGAATGTACTGAGCATTTTACAGGACCAGTAGTCACTGCTTTAAGTCCTTCCATAAGTTTGTATGATACACCACAAGAAATGATCTGAATATGGGAATCATTATCTACAGGATGGCTTTGATGCACCCTATTTGAATGTCAAACTCGCACAGTGAGCAGCTGGCTTGGGCCGTACTAAGAAGATTGACAATAAGGCCAATCTTAAGGAACTGTGGAAACCACAGTGTATACCAACCATTAGGTTTGCAGTAAACAGTATTTCTCAACTGGGACATCAAGTCAAGCCAGCTCGTTTGACTGTTCCATTTCAGATGTAATGGTCTTCCTTATTAAGGATTACTATGATAAAATTCACCCTAATAGTTTACTACTCTGCTCTCAAAAATAAGAAAATAGATTGCGGGACTTTTTTTACAATACAATGTACAATAATGAGGCAGTGGGTTTCTTTGTATTCATCATTCTTGGACAATGAGCTGGAAACACTGGCACCTATTGACCTTTCTTTAGTTTGGTAAAAGCCATCACTGTCCATCACTGTTTTTAGAGTACATTAACTAACAGCTTTGTATTTTACAGAATAATTGCATACCTCAAGAAAGGCATTTGTGTTGTTAAGTTGTCATTATATGCATCTTAAATGTGTGTTTGGTGTAGGACTTTTTGTGTCACATTCACATTACCACATTATGAATAAAGTTTGATGAATGAATCCTGAATCCAGTTATTTATATAGGACAATTCTGAAGACCATACTGCTTGTTAATGTCCATTGTAACAGTTTTGCAACCTCCATGATTATGCACTAGTCCAGTTCCCCAGTTTTCACCATCCCAGCTTTGTGTTCAACTGCCTAGACCCTAAGATCTGGAATTTTTTTTCCCCAAATCTCTCCTACCACTGTCTTAACCCTTTCCCCCTTTTAAGTTGCTCCTTCATTCCAATATCATTGACCAAGCTTTTGTTCACATATCCTAAAATCTCAGCTTTAAAGGTGCAACTTAACTAATTATTTTTTAACTGATGCAGTAATAGAAGTTTATAAGTCAATGATTTCACCTTTATACATTTGGAATTAATTGGTTTTTCTGCACTGTGCAGGATCCTGGATTTGTTGCGAGAAGATGGCAGTTCTCCATGGGGGTTTTCTGTTGGCCAAGAAGCAAAGTCAACACAAAGTGCTTTTGGAAATGAAAAAATCTGATTGGACAGCCTTAGGGAAGCCTATTGTCTGTGCCGTACATGAGATCTGTACAGGAGGGACTAACTCAGCACAAGATCCTGCAGAAACCAAGCAGTGGCAAAGGAAAATACTTGCTTTTGTGTGGGCAAAGCTACTGAACTCTAATGTAATTGGAACTAAAATTAAGGAGGAACTGGATTCAGATTCTGAGAGTGACCGAAGGTGGAAGGAAGACCTCTTCTTTTCAGCAGAAAGCATGATTCCAGAGATAAATCACACTGTTTTATTTGAAATGGTAAAATCACTGGGGGCCTCTGATGTCTTTGTTGAGTTACTTTCAGCATTGCCAGCAAATGCAAGCCGCCTGGAGATGACTCATTTTGTGGACCATGTTCTTGATGGAACCTCTGATGATGATGTGGCCATGTTTCTAGATGTATGGTGGGAACTGATGAAACAAAATGATGGACAAAAGAATAGAATTGCTCAAACATTTGGAGACGAGACTAAAAAGTACTTGGCACGTGTGGCTGATGAATTTAGTCATTCATCCAAGAGACTCAAACTAGATCCTGATGTTTCTTCTCTGTTCCCTTCAGTGAACTTGCCTGGATCTTCCAACAACCCGCCCATTCCTTGTCTGCTACTAGATGGTCTTAAGAGATTGAAAAGTCATATAAACTCTTATGTTTATAAATGCTCTGCCCTAGCAAAACTGTCAGACATGATTTGCAATTCAGTTCTTTCTGAAAATATTGTAGAGTTGTCCACTAAGGTGTATTTGGAGAAATTTGCCAGACTGATTACTTTAGGTAATCCTGGGGTCCAAAAGTTTCTAGTACCAAACATTTTCATCAGGAATGTGAAGGAGACACAGAGAGAGCTAAGAGCCACTTCTCAGAAGTCTTCATTCCAGTTCCCTCAGGGAGCACTGACTCCAGGGATTGAGTTGCTTGCTGATCTCCTGCACTCGTGGGTAAATGAACTTCAGACCGAGCCTGAGAATGACACTGAAATTCAGAAGAGAAGCCTGGCTATTTACAGAACAGTGGAAAGTTTAAAATGCTTCCGCGAAATCTGTCCAATGCTACAAAACTCCAAGATAGTACCTGAAGATGCAAAGAAAAATCTGTCTGATCTCCTGCTGAATTCAGCCACTTTTATTCAGAAGATTGGCACATCCGTGCCTTTAGGTGATGCTGCTACCATAGATAAAGTTAAATTTTCCATTGCTTTGACGATAATTGATGGAAGAATGGAAAGATATGCAGAAATATGTGAAATATTTGCATCAAGTCCTGGTTGGGCTTTATCAGCTGATGGTTGGCTTGATTGCCTTGAAAGAAACCAGGACATTTTTCAAGATACAGATTTAGTGTTGAGGTTAGCTGGAACACTTAAAGAAGTTTCATCATGGAGGATCAGTGAAGCGTCAAAGATTAAACGACTAATGAATGTCATTTTACATTGCTTGACTGCCCTGTCAGTTGCTGACAAAAATAAAGCTCTCTTGGGGATCCTGTCCTCTTATGGTAGCAAAGGCTTCTGTAGAGACGAGGGACCTTTTAAGGACTGGTTTGAAGAGGAGGTGAACATGGCATTCAATTGTATTACACAGAGTGAGGCTGCAAAGAACATTAGTAAAGCAGTGAATGCTGTTGCAAGAGTTGCTTTTTTAAACCCAGAAGCCACCCTGCAGAAGACATGCCACTTGGCTGCAGTGAACCTGGGTGCCCATAAGCTGCTTGGCCAGATCCTGAAAAACTTGCCAGCGCTGTCCTTTAAGGACAAGCTGTCTTCAGATGGACTCAATATCTTGGCCAAATGTCTCCTGGAAGCTGCTTGGGATAGCTTTGCCACCACCAAAGGGGAAAATCAGTTTCTTGAGTTCTTGACATCTCTTATGGAACCAGGAGAAGGAAATGATGAAGATCCTCCAAGTCCTCTTCTCCAACCAGCCGATGCCACGAAGATATTTGTCCTTCCTTATCTGATGGAAAGCAACTCCAGTATTGAGTTTCCTCTTAAAGTTCTTAACAATGCTCTAAAGATTGAGGTGACAGATGATGGGACCAAAGAACATTGGCTACTTGCCTGTTGCCCATTCCCTCTCATTTTTGCTCTTTCTCAGCTTCTGGACCATTGCATCTTGTGCTGGGAGGAGGACAACAATAAAACATCAAGTCACATTTCTGTCGAAACAAAAGGTCTCCTGATTGAGACATTGAACATGGTTTGTGATATTGTTGGACAGATAATTTCTGTAAATCCAGAGATGTGGTCAACATCTGTTTGTTGGTTGTACAGAAAAACTGAACAGTTGGACTGGACTGTGCGCCTTTGGTTAAAAAGCATCTTTGGGAACCATTTCAAATATGAGGTACCTGCCACATTGTTTGAGGTCTGTGATCTTTCCGATGATGGTTGGTCACCACTTAACCTTCCACAGTATGGTCCAGGCACTGGACTTTTGGCCTGGATGGAATGTTGTTGTGTCTCAACTAATATGATGGAGCAGATGCTGTCCCATCTAACAATTGATGCTAAAAATGTTGAGGAGGTCAATATGTTTAGCAAAGGCTTTCTAATTGCACTGATCCAGGTCCTGCCTTGGTGCAGCTCTAGTGAATGGAAACGCCTCAACCATGTTGTAAACAGCCTTCTGCAGCGCGAATTGCTTCATGTGCCATATACCCTGGAATATGTCCATTATATGCCACTGCTCAACCTCCGACCTTTTGCCCATCCCCTACAGATCTCTCAGCTTTTACTGAGGGCCTTCCAGCTGATCTGTAGTTGTAGCTGCTCTGACTGGCTTCCAGTAGCGGGGTGGAAGTACGTAGCACGACAGTGTGCTGGCAGTATGTCAGACATCTTGGAGTCTGTAAGGTGCAGACTCAAAGGGCATGGAGTTCAGAATCCAGACGGAAGACAGGAAGCCACTTTTGTCATCATGCAGCTCTTTTGCCATGTGATTCACATTATGGTAATGATGCCCAGCGGCACGTCCGAGCCTCTGTATTATGTAGCCTTGGAGCTTCTTTCCCAGTATGAGACCCTGACAACTGCCAATGCCTCTACCTCCGGGCTACTCAGCAAAGTTGATGAAAAACACTTTCTCTATTCCATTGCTGAGAATCTGTCCAGCGAAGACCAACGTTCTGTGCTACTGCAGAAAATCAGCAAAATTTGTTGAGTAACAAAATCAGAAATTGTTGGAAAGTCTCAGCATCTGTGGAGAGAAATCAGAGTTAACATTTTGGGTCAAGTGACCCTTCTTCGGAGCTGATAGTAACTGGGGAAACATTGTTTTTTATGCAAAAGATAGGATGGGGGTGGAGACAAAGAGTAAACATTTATTCCCTGCCCCCTCCTCCCACCCTATCTTCTGCATAAAAAGTAACTTTACCCTAGCTACCATCAGTTCTGAAGAAAGTTCACTGGATCCAAAAGGTTAGCTTCAATTTCTGCCCGCAGATACTGCCTGACCTGCTGAGATTTTTCAGCAATTTCTGTTTTTGTTTCTTATTTCCAGCATCTGCAGCTCTTTCGGTTTTTTTAATCTGTTGAGAAGTTCAGTGGCTGTTTATCCATGAGCTGCTGGGGTTTGACATTGCAGGGGTGTTATATTGTATGGAAAAAGATTAATCTTGTTTTGAAGACTCCTAATGCTGACCTGAGAAACTATTCTGACCTATGCAGGTCCTGAGAAGCAAAAGTTCAAAGTTACCAGTGAACAATTGAATTGAGACAGAACACTGAGTTGTTTCCAGCCACCTCCGGATCTTGAATTGAAATTTATAAGACTTGAAATCTGTAATTTAAGTTTGTGTGAATGTTGAGAGCGTAACTCAACTTTTTTCAGTTAATTTGTTTTGCCTTTTTAAGGTCTTTGTGTGTCCCTGAGCAGCCAAAGTACTGCCAGTCATCTGCCCCAGGTGGTGTGAGAGAAGATTTAGAACAAAACCATGCTCCCTCGGATTTTATTTTCCTCCACTGTTTTGAAGATATTAAAAATCTTCTTAAAGCAATGTTATCATGAGTTTTTCTTTTCTCTATACCGGTTATTCCACTTCTATAATTGTGAACAGGAAATTATTTTGGTGCATTTATTTTGTAGATCCGCTTTGGTACAAACAGAACGACCAAGCTGCTTATGTGAAATCTGAAAGAAATTCGACTACCAGTAAAAACATAAGTTCAAATTTTGATTGAACGATCTGTTCCCCTTCTGTAAGTGGATCTGTTAACTTATGATTAGGATGATAGTAATCTTATGGCAGCGATTGAACGGCGATACTATTCCAAATCAGGATGTGTGACTTGTAGGAGTACTTGAAGGTGATGGTTTTTCCAGGTATCTGCTGCCCTTGGTTGTCCAGCCAGAGAGATTGTGGATTTTGAGGGTGCAGTCTCAGGAACCTCGGTAAGTTGCTGCAGTGCACCTTAGAAATGATACACACTGCTGCTGTTGTGTGTCAGCTGTGAATGGAGCAAATATTTAAAGTCACGGATGGGCTGCTAATCAATTGACTTGCTTCACCCTGGAATATTTTGAGCTTCACGGTGGCTCAGTGGTTAGCACTGCTGCCTCACAGCACCAGGAACCTGAGTTCAATTCCAGCGTTGGGCGACTGTACATTGGAGTTTGCACATTCTCCCGTGTCTGCGTGGGTTTCCTCCAGGTGCTCCAATTTCCTCCCACAGACCAAAGATGTGCAGGTTAGGTGGATTGGCTATGCTAAATTGCCCATAGTGTCCAGGGATGTTTAGGTTAGGTGGATTAGCCATGGGAAAAATTGCAAGGTTGCAAGGGATAGGCTGAATCTGGGTGGGATGCTCCTCGGAGAGTCGGTGTGGACTTGTTGGGCTGAATGGCCTGTTTCCACACTGTAGGAATTCCGTGAAATACACAAGTGTTGGTGGAGCTGTGCTTATTCAGGCAAGTAGAGAACATTCTGTTACACTCCAGACTTGTACCTTGATAGATTTTGGAGAGTCAGGAGATGAGCTGCTTGCTACAGAATTTACAACTTCTAATCTATTATTGTAGCCACTTGTAGCAGCATGGTGACATGAGTACTAATCTGGAGATCTGAGCTCAAATCCCACCATAGCCATTGAGGAATTTACATTCATTTAACTGTCAAATCTGGACTAACCCATTACAGTCAGAAATGGTGAGGTTAATGGATTAGCATGGAAGTGTCTGGTTCACTAATTCCCTCTAAGGAAGTAAGCCATCCTTTCCTAGTCTATCTTGTTTGTGACTCCAGACCCAAAACACTTATGACCTTATGTTGGAGGGCAGTCATAGAGTCATGCAGCACAGAAACAGACCCTTCAGTCCAACCTGTCCATGCTGACCATAATCCCAAACTAAACTAGTCCCACCTGCCTGCACTTGGCCTATATCCCTCCAAACATTTCTTACTCATGTACCTATCTAAATTTCGTTTAAACGTTGTAACTGTACCCGCATCTACCACTTTCTCTGGAAGTTCATTCCACGCACGAACCAGTCTGAGTTAAAAAAATTGCCCCCATGTCTTTTTAAAATCTTTCTCCTCTCACCTTAAAATATGCCCCCTACTTTAGAAATCCCCCATCCTGCTATTCACCTTATCTATACCCCTCATTATTTTATAAATATCTGTGAGGTCACATCCCAACCTCCTCCGCTCATTGGAAAAAGTCCCAGCCTATCCAGCCTCTCCTTATAACTTAAACTTTCCATTTCTGGCAACACCCTCGTAAATCTCTTTTGAACCGTCTCACTTAATAATACCCTTCCTATAACAGGGAGACCAGGACTGGAGACAGTACTCCAGCAGAGGCCTCACCAACATCCTGTACAACCTCAACATCACGTCCCAGGTCCTATTCTCAAAGATCTGAGCCATGGCGGGAAGTATGCCAAATACCTTCTTAACCATTCTGTCTATATGTGATGCAAACTTCAAAGAATTATGTACCTGAACCCCTAGTTCTGTCTGTTATACAACAGTTCCAAAGCCTTATTTTTAATTGTATAAGTCTTGCCTTTGTTTGTTTTATCAAAGTGCAATACCTTGCGTTTATCTAAACTCCATCTGCCACTCTTCAGCCCATTGACCCAATTGATCAAGATCTCTTTGTAATCTTAGATAGCCTTCTTCACTGCCCACTACACCACCAGTCTTGGTGTCATCCACAAACTTACTAACCATGCTTTCTACAAACACCAGTGAAGAAGCTGAAGACTGGTAAGCCTAGACTCTACCCTGAGGAACTCCAGCAGCAATATCCTGGCCTTCGATGATTAGATTCCAGCAACTACAACCATCTTCCTCTGTGCCAGGTACGACTCCAACCATTGCCCCACCCACCCACCCATTTCCATTTTGCTAAGGCACTTTGCTGCCACACTTGGTGAAATGCTCGTGTGGGTCAGGAGCAATCTTTCTTGCCTGACCTCTGAAATGGGATCCTTTTTGGCTGTGTTTGGATCAATACTGTAAAAGCAGAGTAACCCTTGTGTAATTTAAAGTATGGGTTGGTAGGCAGGGCGTTGCCAATGTGCTACGTTATAGTGCTGTCAGTGATGCCTTCTGCCACTTTGCTGATGATTGAGAATAGATTAATACGTGGTATTACCTGAGTTGGGTTTGTCCTGCCATTTTCAGACAGGTCATCTTGGACAATTTTTCACATCATTGGGAAGATTTCAGTATTGTAGCTACACTGGAACAACTTGACTTGGGGCATGGCCTATTCTGGACCACAAGTCTGAAGTGCGACAGTTAACATATTATCAGAGTTCATAGCCTTTGCAGTACCCAGCACCTTCAACTGTTTTGATATTATGTGGAGTGTAATGGTTGAAGGCTGGCAACTATGATAGTGGGAACCTCGGGTGAAAGCCATGTGGCTGGACTGAAGAGCAATGGTTTTGTCTGTTAGTTGTAGATTGCTTAGCTGTTGTCTAGATCATGCTGCTTCTGCTGTTTGGAAGGCATGTAGTCCAGTGGTATCACTCCACAAAGTTAGTACCTCATGTTCAGATATGCCTGCCATTGCTCCTGGCATGCCCTTCCATACTCATTATTGAACCAGGATTGGTCTCCTGGCTTGATGGTAGTTGTAGAGTGTGGGATATGCTGGGCCATAAGTGTACAGATTGTTGTTAAACACAATTCTGCTACTGCTGATGGCCCATACTGCCTATGGATATCAAGTTTTGTGCTGGTGGATGTCTGACCTTTTTCCATTTAGTGGTAGTGCCACACAACTCAGTGGAAGGGTATCTTCAGTGTGAAAATGGGACTTTCAGTCCATAAGAACAATATGGTGTCACTTGCACCACTAGCACGGACCAAAGCATTTATGACATGTAGATTAGTGAGCCAAGATCAGGTATGTTCATCCATTTCGTTGGTTTGGTCACAACTTGCTGGAGCCCCAGTATAGCAGATATGCCCTTCAGAACTGAAGCATTGAAGTCTCTCACCCACGAGGATTCATTATCTTGTATACTGGTGTAAAAGTCAAATTTCTAAGACTAAATTTTTCATCAAAATGTATGGGTTAATCTCTTACATGAATAACATTTTGGAAAAGTTGAAATACACCCCTTTCCATTACCTCTCACTGCAGGGTTACAGGTCGAGACTGTTCCTGCAAACCCTGACCTCCAAAATAGTGCAAAAGGAGCTAAAAGCACACATGCAGAAACAAACAACTAATGTGCTATTCAATGATTCTATCAAATAGGTTTTGATCTGGCCAAGTTTGACTTCACTGGTGAGTGAGTGTTAAGTACAAAGACTTTAGATTTTTGGCAGTTTGGAGGTTGAATTTTATCCGAGGTTAATCCCTACTTCGTGGAGGAGCACTGATTCACCCACTGAGGGAGGACAGTAGATGGTGAACGGGATGGGGGAGGGTGTCATTTCTTGCCCATGCTTGACCTGATGTCATGAAACTTCATGGGGTCTGGAATCGATATTGAGGATTTCCAGGGCAACCCCTCCATTTATTACACTGCTGCCAAGTCTATTGGTGGAAAAGGGCACACTGCAGAATGGCAGTGGAAGAGACTCTCATTGATTGAAAGGTATGATTCGCTGAGTGTGCCTCTGTGCTTTGACTAGTCTGTAGAACACGTCTGCCAATTTTGGCATAAGATTCCAGATGATAGCGAGGATGACTTTACAGGGCCAGCAGACAGCTAGTTTGATGTTGTCTGGTTCTTCTGGTATTAATTCTGTTTAACTTCTCTGTACTATTTCAATGCAACTGTACAGCTTTATAGGCCATTTCAGAGGGCAGTTAAGAGTAAACTACATTGGTACCTTGGTAGGTTTGATCCCCTGAAAGATGTTAATAAATCACATGCATTTTAGATACAATCTAGTAGTTTTATGATAATCATTATTGAGACTAGCTTTTTTTATTCCTGATTCGCTAATTAATTGAATTTAAATTTCCCCAACTGCTGTGTTAGGATTTGAACTCGTGGTCCCAGATACTGAGCTAGAACTCCAGATCACTCGTCCAATAACACTACCGCTTGTGCCACTGTTCCCTTGAGTAACAATGCGCCCGTAATAAGCATGTAATGAGGGATTGAACTCAGGATTTCACCAGAACAATGAAGGAGGAAGTTGCCATTTTTCTTTTAGTTTTAAAAGATTTTCCGGCATGTGGCTACTGGGGTGGTGAATCTTACATTCAACATGAGTGAAATTAAAAATAATAGAAAAAAAAATCCATAGCAATGCCATGGAAATAAGTTTGAATGTGTAGATTCGGTTGAAGAGCTAGCACAGACAATGATTTGATAGGCCAGTTGGCTTGATTCTGTGCAATAATTTCTATGATTCCATCATACCTTGCCTTTGTTGCAAATCTACAGTTAGCGAATGTGGTCCTTGGGACACTGCACTTGTCTTGGGCAGTAAAGATTTGGGTCATAATATTAATCACTTGATGCATCCATCTCTGAACATTTTGCCCAACTGCCAATCAAGTGCCTTTTGCCCATAACCCT